CAAAAAATTGACTGGCAGTTTAGTGAAAGTATCTGAGCTTACTTTTATGTTGTTTAGTTTGTGTTTTATTGCGTGTTTTTAAAGTTTTTGTGCTATTTATCCAGGGCTACGTGTGTATATAGGAATTTAGCTGCCAACCTTAGCATATATTACTATAGGGATACGTACATGATCTGACCGCGCGTAAACAATGCAGTCGGGGACTAAGTAGTAGTACGATTTTATTAAATGAATTAATACCACTGATTGTTGGGCTACCTATGGCAAAAGAGTGCACAACTGTATAACAGGTGCTTTGATAATAATAATATTATTTAAATTATATAGTGAAAAAAGAGTGCTCAACATCAAGTATTTAAAAGAGCAAATAGTATTTTAACCTAAAATTGAGTCACAACTCTAAGTTTCACGCTGAGTGCGATCATCAGGTGACGGTATTACAAGTGACGGTTGAATCTTTCGTATGATGACGTTGGACTTATGTTTGGATTATACGCGTGATGGCACAGCGCGCGCGCGTTCAAACTTTCCCGCGAGGAATCGCTTCCGGTGGCGGCACTTCGAAAAACGTTCACATCTCTTGTTCAATAGTTTTGTCTTACCACTCATTTTCAAATGAGGTTTATAATTTTAAATTAATTAAACAGCAGATAATGAGACCCGTGGCAAACCATATTATTGTGACTATTACTTACTCACAAGCAAATTTGCTGCCGGTCAGCTTCTGCAACACTTGGCTAATAACAAATTAGAAGAACCCTTCCAGTCGGCATATAAACGTTTTCATAGTGCAGAAACAACCCTATTAAAAGTACAAAACGATATTCTTGTAGCCATTGATAATCGTAAGTGTGTGGCGTTGCTATTACTAGATATGTCAGCAGCATTCGATACTGTTGATCACGAACTTTTACTACAACGAATGTTCAAAAGATTTGGGATAGATGGGCAAGTGTTGAGATGGTTTCAGTCCTATCTTCAGAATAGAACGCAAAGTGTAGTGATTGACGGTGTTAAATCTATCTCTAAAGACTTGCGCTGTGGAATCCCACAAGGATCAGCTCTCGGCCCTATACTATATTTACTATACACTTCACCCCTTGGTGATATCATCAGAGGTCATGATCTTGATTTTCACTTTTATGCAGACGACTCGCAATTATATCTCGCTTTTGAGTCAACCACTGAAGGAAAAGCGGGAGCACTGGTACAAATCGAAATGTGTGTAAAGGAGATTGATTTGTGGATAGGTCAAAAATAAATTAAAATTGAATGGGGACAAGACTGAGTTACTAGTAATCAATGCACGAAACCGTTTATGCCCTGCTGTACACCATATAGAAATATCTAAGTCAATAGTTCAACCAAGTACTTCAGCACGAAACATCGGTGTAACCTTCGATCAACACATGTCCATGGATAAACATATTACCAACATTTGCAAGAACTGTTTTTCCATTTGAGAAAAATAGCAAGAATAAAAGAGTACTTATCAAAATCAGATATCCAAACCCTAGTTCATGCCTTTATTACATCGAAACTAGATAATTGCAACTCTTTGCTATACGGACTACCTAAATTTCTTATAGATCGATTACAGAATGTGCAAAACTGTGCTGCTTGTCTGGTGACAGGAAGCAGAAAATACGACCATGTTACTCCATTAATGAAACAATTACATTGGCTCCCCATCAGTCAACGCATCATCTATAAAATTGTTCTTATCACGTATAAATCTCTGAATGGCTCAGCTCCACATTACATTAATAATATGCTAAAACTTTACACACCATCAGCAAATTTACGCTCCTCATCCAAAGGATTGCTTACCATATACCTTCAGTAAAACTAGTGAACTATGGTGAACGATCGTTCTCATATGCTGCACCGAAACTGTGGAACGAACTGCCAGAGTATATTAGAAAGAGTGAGACCTTGCCTATTTTTAAAACCAGATTAAAGACACATCTTTTTAAACAGTATTATGACTAAGTTATTATTTTAACAAGATTATTAGCAATTTTATAGTATTCTATATAGTTGTTGTTTTAATATTATCAACATACATAACATAAAGGCACTATTTGCTCGCCGAATAGTAATTTTATTGCCTCCCGCGTTCTATTTAGACATATAGTATAGGCATTTAGCTACATAGTGACCTAGCGCACGCGACAGAATATCACAGGGAAAAGTTGTTACATTGCGGGATTTTACTTCACGAAGCAATCGCATGGTAATACATGGGACATATATAAGCGCGAGTTGTCTGTGCGTGATTCATTCCTCTGAAGCTGTCATTGGAGCAAGATCTCAAGTCAGTTTCGTCTTTCGATTGCATCAAGGTATTGTGTGTTTGTTTTTGTTTTCGTTCACGACTTTCCTAAAGAAATATGTCGGCCTTTATTGCTCAGCCTCAGGTTTTGATATTTGGCCATTCATTTGTTCGCCGCTTACACGACGATTTAAATAGGGGTTTCGATTCGCGTGCAAAACAAAATTTTAACCTGGCAGGATCAGGTGTCTGTGTTTCCTTGCAGGGCACAGGCGGGCGCACTGTGGAGAAAGTGAAAAAATATGATATATCTGTGATCTCTAGATTTAAACCGGATATTATAATTTTGGAAATCGGCACTAATGATTTGTGCTCTCTTCCTCCGGAGGTGGTTGGCTCGCAGATCGAGGAGCTTGCACGCTTTTTTCGCGACGAGCTACGAGTTCAGGTTGTTGCGGTGTGTCAGGTTATCGATCGTAACCTACCGCATTCAGCGACGCCTGATTCGTCATTTAATGCCAAAGCTGCTATTTTACGGCAGTATTTAAGCGTGGTGCTGGCAAATGAGCCGCGTATATTTCTTTGGGAACACCGTGATTTCGCTAATGTAAATAGTGATGTTGGCTTGCTGTCCTTCGATGGGGTGCATTGTAATCGGCAAGGACAGTATAATTTGTACCGAAGCTATCGTGGGGCGATCTTGAAGGCCCTTCACAAGCTGCATGAATGATAGCTTGGTATTTTACAATATCATGCATTTTTTGATCTATAGCCAATAATTTTATTTATGGCTTTATATTCTTTGTTTATACTCATGCATTTTTGAATATTAATAAAGTCATTATTGACCGTCTTCTCTTCATGCAAACTTGTATGATCGAGACGGATTTTCCCTGGGGCCCAAGGGTTTTATATGTGTTATATTTTATGGGCTAGAGCACTTGCTGTTTGCAGATGCCCACGTTGAGAATTCAGCAATTATATTCTCAGGTACGGAAGCTATTCATGACTTTGTGGCTGTGCCAGTATTGTTTGTAACATATTGTTGTGTTTGTTTACGTTTTGTCCTGTTCGTACTACAATTTCTTAAATTTATGCACATTTGCATTAATTTAATCGGCCACACTAGCTTCTTAAGCATGGGAATATATGCCTACATGGGATAGGACCTTAGTGTTTCCAGATGCCCATAGCTGGATTCAATATATTGTGGGATGGCGCAGCATGATGTTTTCAGATTGCCCGATTGTTTTGTGTGCGGCTACCCTCATGGTATGCCAGATTTTCTAACAACTATAGATAGTCTACTTCTTTAGCACTTGTTTCGTTGTTTGTACTATGTGTAGGCTGTCTTGCGTTCCGTTTTTCACTATGTTTTCCCTCCCCTTATTTATTTCATATACCATGATCCCTGTATTCCTTCTTTGGTCTGTCTCCTGCCCAGTTTGTGGTTTCTTTTTAGTGCGAAATGCCAGCAACAAGACCGAGTACTCGAATCCAGCGTCGTGCACAACCTTTGGCTGCTCGAAACCAACCATCTAGACCACGTAATGCTTCGGATGATGCTCCGTCACAACCAGCCGAACCTGTGTCAGTTAGCCCAGCTCCAGCTTTGGACAATAACGCCATCGCCCGAATTGCCTCTGAAGTGACCCAGGCCGTCATGGCATCCTTGAATCACCATCAACAACCTGGTCCCATTACTGGTTCACCATCAGCAGAGTCTGCAACAAGGGAGGTAACACTGGGGGGTATCTCTGTGGTTGATGCTACAGTGCAGGGGCCGGTGGCATCAGCCATGGAGAATCTTACAGGTGAGGTGTCATTACAACTGGGAGGCAGTAGTTCACATCCCACGGGCTCAGGCATATCTAATTTTAATTCTATAAGCATTGCTATAGATGCTCAGGTTAGCCCAAAGGTAAAAGCAAAAATTTGGGCCAATGAGTTTATTGATTTTGGTTTGCTTTTAAATCCACAAGTGGGCGATACTCGTTACCAACTTTCTCTTAGTTCATCAGAGAACTCCGTGCCTACTTTGTCTTTGGAACCCACCACTAAGACAAAACACATTGCCAATATTGAGATGTGGACTAGTGCCTTCCAGGTTTTCGTTGGGGTTTACACTAGCAAATACCCGGTGGACGCCCCAGCATTGATGAAGTATGGGGAGGTTGTACGGGACCTAGCTGCTCGGGGTGGTAATTGGCGTTATTACGACACCCAATTTCGTTTCCTTCGTTCCACTCATGTCAATGAGATGCCATGGGGATCAACTCACTGGGAATTATGGATTCGGGCACAGAATTTTGGTGTTGCCACTAAAACTAAACACCAAAATGTCAGCCAGCCTAGTGTATTTGTCCCTAAAGGATTTTGTAGGAAATTTCACCTGGGTCGAGTTTGTATGGGATGCAGTTATAAGCATAGTTGTTTTAAGTGTGGGGTTCAGCACCCAGCACATTCCTGTACATTTCGTTCCTCAAATGCACCCTCAAATTCTCGCAACTCAGGTTTCACTTCCAATTTTCGTCCCTCCAAGGCAAACTCTAACCCTGCAGCTGGGTCCCAAGCTTCCAACCCCGGTTCGCATTGAGCGCATGCTGCCTTTACTCTGTGGATATGATGCACAAGTTGTTTCCTTTTTACAAAATGGTTTTACTGTCGGTTTTCGTTTACAGTTTTCTGGTCAGCATGTTTCTTTCTTTGCCAAAAATTTATTATCTGCTTACCAAAACCATGAGATAGTCAGTGCTAAGTTGGAAAAGGAACTGCGCGCAAATAGAATTGCAGGACCGTTTCAAGCACCCCCCTTTTCTACTTTTCGCGTTTCACCATTGGGAGTTGTGCCAAAGAAAACACCCGGGGAGTTTCGCTTGATACATCACTTGTCTTTTCCTCGCGGATTATCAATCAACGATGGTATTTTGCCCGAGCATTCTACTGTAACTTATAGTCGGGTCGATGATGCAATATCTCTTATAAAAAGCCTTGGACCGGGTTGTTATCTTGCCAAAACTGATATACAGAGCGCATTTCGCATTATTCCTATCTCCCCTCAGGATTATGATCTTCTCGGCATGTTTTGGCAAGGCAACTTTTATTATGACCGTGCCATGCCCATGGGATGTGCATCATCATGTCGTACCTTTGAGATATTTAGCACTGCTCTCCAATGGATTGCGCAAAAACGATTCAACATTGTGCATCTTATTCACATTCTCGATGACTTTTTAATGGCTGCTGCATCATATGACCAGTGTTGTATTCATCTGAGGAATTTTTTATCTCTATGTGACTATATTGGTGTACCAATTGCTTCTGAAAAAACTGTTGGCCCTCACACCACCTTGACATTCGCGGGTATTGAATTAGACACCATGAAGCTTGAAGCTCGTTTACCTGCTGATAAAATACTGAAGACGCAAGCCCTGCTTTTAGCTTTTTCACAACGTAAGAAGGCTACTTTAAAAGAAGTACAGTCATTAATCGGGCTTCTTAATTTTGCCTGTTCTGTTGTCGTACCTGGGCGAGCGTTTTTACGTCGTCTTATTGACTTGACCAGAGGCATTACATGCGCTTCTCATTTTATTCGGCTTAGTCGTTCTGTCAAGGCGGATTTGAGTATGTGGAAATCATTCTTGGATGATTTCAATGGCCGATCGTTTTTTCTTGCGGATAATTGGTCCACTTCTTGCAGCTTAAATTTGTATACAGATGCGGCCGCAGGCTTTGGGTTTGGCGCTATATTCGGTCGGTTTTGGTCTTTCGGTGAATGGCCTGACCAGTGGAAAACACTTAATATTGTTATTTTGGAATTTTATCCGATTGTTTTGAGTGTGCTCCTATGGGGGCATTTGATGCAAAATCAGAGGATCATTTTCTTCACAGATAATGCAGCACTGGTCGATATTATTAATAAAGCCACGTCGCGCGATCCAACAGTTATGATATTTGTTCGCCGGCTGGTGTTGGCCTGCTTGCGATTTAATATACTTTTTCGTGCCCAGCATGTTCCAGGAGTTAAGAACAGTCTAGCTGATTCACTATCTCGCTTACAGGTTTCCCGGTTCAAGCAGCTAGCACCAGCGGGCGTGCAAGCGACTCCGACAATTATACCGGTACATCTATTGCCACACAACTGGCAGCTATAATGTCTACTCTGTTGCAGTCTAGTTTGCAGCCATCATCGATCCCAACCTACCGCCGGGCATGGCAACTTTATTCTCAGTTTTCCCAATCCGTGCTGGCCACAGCAGCTATTTCGATGCCATTGACGCCATCAAACCTAGGCTTGTTTATTGCTTACATGTTCCAACATAAATACGCGCCATCGACTGCTAACACTTACGTATCTGCACTTGGCTATTGTCATCGTTTGGTTGGGGCCCCCGACCCTACTAGAGTCTTTTGGGTTATGGAAATGTTGAAAGGTTATCGGAAGCTTGGTCCACGCATTGACAGCCGTCTGCCTGTAACTTTACCAATTTTGCGTAACATAATCGCGGTTACGCCATCGTTGTGTTCTAGTGTGTATAATACTTTTCTTTTTAAGGCCATGTGCACAACGGCATTTTTTGCTTTTTTGCGCGTGGGGGAAATTACATACTGCCCCCGATCGCCAGCGGTTCTTCAAGTGAAACAGGTGGTTAAGCTTGAGGATCCGTCTGGTGCTACTGTCGGCCTTAAAATCAATTTTGACGATTTTAAACATTCTTATAACCAACCTCGTATTTCCATTACGCTTTCCCGCCGTTCTGACACATGCCCTGTGCAAAGCCTTTTGGATTATTTATCGCATCGAGGCCTGTCGGATGGCCCACTATTTCAAATGTTTGATGGCCACCCTGTTTCACGTAAAACATTTTCCGACTTTTTGTTATTAGTTTTTCGCAGCTGTGGCCTCGATTCCTCCAAATATAAGGGCCACAGTTTCCGTATAGGCGCTGCGACTTTTGCGGCCAGTTGCGGTTTTTCAGATGCTCAGATTCGAGCTATGGGGCGCTGGAAATCCGACGCCTTCCGTAAATATATTCGCTTATCCAACATGCCTAGTAGTAGTTTCCGTGCTTAATTTGGGTGGAACTGGGATCGGTATGGCTGCATTCTTTCTTTAGCTAGCAGGGCTTTCGGTCGCACTATTTGTTTGAGCATGCTCTGCCAGGCGAGGGTTTAGCTATGCCGTGTTGCTGATGCAGGGGCAAGGCTTCCGGTTGCTTCACTCTTAACTGCATTATTTAGCATGCGTTTTGCATCACATTATCTGCTATACTTTGTCCGATTGGCCCATCTTCGCTTGTAATTAGACTTTCTAGATTACGGCATACTGTACTTTGCCTTTATCGTTGATTTGGTTTTTGCAGTCCTGATGGGGTGGGGGTGCCTCCTACCCGAGGAGGCTTGTGGCGGGAAAATGCCCCCACCTTTTCTGTGATATCTGTTATTTCATTTATGTAAATATAATTTATTGGACATTATTTATCAATAAACCGGCGTGTGCGCACGCACACAGCCATTATTTTTCCCAAATGGGCGTTTAGTGTTTTATTCTCGCATCACAGAAAACGGAGCTCATCAGCACTGCAAATTACCGTGGAGGGGGGTCATATAAAGTACAATTAATTTTAAGGGAGGCGATAAAGGCACTATTTGCTCGCCGAATAGTAATTTTATTGCCTCCCGCGTTCTATTTAGACATATAGTATAGGCATTTAGCTACATAGTGACCTAGCGCACGCGACAGAATATCACAGGGAAAAGTTGTTACATTGCGGGATTTTACTTCACAAAGCAATCGCATGGTAATACATGGGACATATATAAGCGCGAGTTGTCTGTGCGTGATTCATTCCTCTGAAGCTGTCATTGGAGCAAGATCTCAAGTCAGTTTCGCCTTTCGATTGCACTCTCCCTTCCCTCCCATTTCTCTTTCGGTCGCCTGCTGCTTCTGTCACTGCTAGCTAACTTATCATATATATGTTCAAGGTGGCGGGAAAATGCCCCCACCTTTTCTGTGATATCTGTTATTTCATTTATGTAAATATAATTTATTGGACATTATTTATCAATAAACCGGCGTGTGCGCAAAGCACACAGCCATTATTTTTCCCAAATGGGCGTTTAGTGTCTTGTTCTCGCATCACAGAAAACGGAGCTCATCAGCACTGCAAATTACCGTGGAGGGGGTCATATAAAGTACAATTAATTTTAAGGGAGGCGATAAATATATATATATATATATATATATATATATATATATATATATATATATATATATATATATATATATATATATATATATAAATATATATATATATATATCGGTCGTCAATCGAACTACATTCACACTTTGTTTTGCCTCACCTTTTGTGTGGTATATTCATATTTTGAAACGACCACCCTCTTGGGATCCAACATAAGAACATTCATTGATAACCATTTAGATGACATCCATAAAGGATGATCATCAGAAATCAATGGTGTTGGTGGTTTAATCACTTGCCATCCTGCTTTGTTAAACATATCTATTTGACGACAGGGACGGTCGGGGTTAGATAGAACTAAACCGGGTCCTATGATGTTGAATGTAGCGTCGATGTGCATCGGATTGGGGTCTTCAAAGGATATGGTATGCACTCTGTATCCCTTCTTCCCCAGATGTCTTCTCATCCACTCAATTCCAAAGTAGTTAGTCACCTAGAAATTTCATTTCAAACTTATCAGTTTAATCACCATACCAGGGTTGAACTATATAAAGGCCCGGTCACACTACACAACGATAACGATACGATAAATTGTAAACACACGATAATTGTCAAAAAAATTGTGTTAGTGTCCACACCACAACGAAAATGATAAAATTATCGTTACACAATAACGATTTTAAAATCGCTCACCTGAGCGATTTTTTTTTCAGTCGGACGACAACGATAAATTTTTGACCAATCAGCGCGCGTATGCAAGTTATCGTATCGTTATCGTTGTGTAGTGTGACCTGGGCTTAAGCACGCTTTTCTACATGTACACGTATCTTAATGTAACATACTCAAGTACTACAGGAATATAGAAAACAGGATATTTCGTAGAAAAGCGTTGTTGCTTACACGCGGATTCCGACTTTTTGAGCGAAAGCCGGTTGTCAAGAGACTATAGTTGGAAGTGATTGTGATTCAGAAAGTTTCGACTTAATAAGGGAGCGGTCATTATTTATGGCGGGGGGTGGCACCGAAGAGAAAAGGGTTGGGTAAACAAAATTTTGAGTGAGTAAAAGGTTGGGTAAATGAAAAACGAAACAACTCAAAGGTTGGGTAATAAAAATTTATTGTCATTTCCAAAGCATGACTCACTCAAATATTGAAGACTGAAAACTTCAATGTCAACAGTCATATGTCAATGCAATATGTGAATAAATCAGAGTCACTATCTTCATCATTTCCCGATTTGTTGGGAGACAAATGGTGTCTCCAAAGAAAGTAAATGTGCAGACAACATGAAACTTTAGACTGCAGAAAAGTCAGTAAATTTCACAAGCCGAACGTTATCAAACTAACAAACATTCACAAGCCGAACGTTATCAAACGTATCACAGAAGTGGTAAAGGACTAGTAAGAACGTCTGCGAGGGAGACTAGTAAAGGACATGTGTGACAACTGAATGACATCCTTTTGTAACGTTTTTGGCCAGGGGTGAGTATTTATTTTTTAAATGATACTGAGGTTGGGTAATCAAATTTTTGATTTTTTAATGGTTGGGTCAGCAAAATTTTTGCCACGAAAAACATTTCTCTTCGGTGCCACCCCCCACCATAAATAATGATCGGTCCCTAAACACTGCACACTGCACAAATTGGTTATCACTGCACAGTGCACACTAAAATTATATATCCCAGACTACAACGAAAGTAATTTTTTTGAAAGTAAATTTTTTGACAGTAAAAAAAAGTAAATTTTTTGACAGTAAATTCAAAAACAACTTTTAATTTTTTAAATTAAATTTTATATTTTCAATTCAAAAACAACGGTTTCCTACATCTGCACATATTGGCCATTCATATAGTTACCTGACTTCTTTGCACAAATATATCTGTGCCACATCTCATGAAATCCGCTGCGTCAAAGCAAATGTCATGTTCCGTGGTGACAAACTTGCCTTCTGCCGCCAACTTGTGACGGTCTTCAACTGAATTTATCGGATACTCCTAGAATGTGGAACGTTTATAGAATTACGGCACGTTACGACATGCACCAACAGGGTTTTTCCAGGATTTTCTCTTGGGTTCGTTTTTGCAGAGAAGATTGAGTTTAGCTGAACAGCTGGGGCGGCTGTCCCCTCCCCCTCCCCCGCCCACTTTAGTGTAGTTGAGATGCAACGTGTTAAAGCAGAGGCACTAAAGGACACTATAAACTGGTTAAAGACGGCGATGCGTTGTTTTTCTTGTGTTATGAAATGTATTCCAGCCATATTTTTCTTAATTTTTGGGTTTTCAACTGAAAACTAATTTGCACACGTCATCAATTTAACTCAAACAACTTCATTTTACTGCACAGAATCAGTTTTGATGAAAAGATTGAGTTTTTCAAGATTGAGTTTTGGGGGCCGTTTACGGCCCTAAAAACAAATTGTTATCAGAATCTGTTCGCACTGCTTGTTCCCGGCTTGTTGACAAGTTGTTATAACAACTTGTTGACAACTTAATGGACCTTTAACCTTATAACTAAAATTTTGATCTAGACAAAAATTTCAGCACAGCTTGAAAGAGCATCACAAAATTAGTAATATTCCAAAGTTTTGTTACGAAATGTGGTAAAATGCGGATAATATAGCCCTGCGAAGTTTGCAATTTTATCCGCATTTTGCAACATTTCGCAACGAAATTTCGGAATATTACTAATTTTGTGATGCTCTTTTAAGCTGTGATGAAATTTTTGTCTAGACTTGTCCAGATCAAAATTTTAGTTATAAGGTTAAAAGGTTCATTGCTGCAAGGTTGTTGACTCAGTAGGCTTGTTACAAGTCGTTCCAACAATTTGTTATCGTCTTGCAATTCAACAACTTGTTAAAAAGTTGCGAGTGACAACCTTGTAGCAAACTTGACAAAATAACAGCACTGTGACAACTTGTTGACAAGCTTGCAAGCTTTCGGGCATCGAAGTGTAAAAAGGTAGGACAAAAGGACTAGATCGAATTTTAGGAAAAGTAGGAATAAGGTAGGAAAATATACAAAAAAAGTAGGACAAAAGTAGGATTTTTTGGAGAGGGAATAACACAAAAATATAACGTAACTTTAATAAATGATTTTACGAATTAAATTGCGTCCTGCCCTACAGCCAACCGTAGCGATTTTGGAGTGGTTTGAACGGGGCTTAATAAACATTCTAATAACCTTATCATACAGCGCGTCATCCATCAACGGTTTAGGAGCGACAGTCCAAGTTGCTCCACCATGAAAATATTCTTTCATGAGATCTCGATAAGCCCTGTATTCAAAAAATCGTGCTCTCCAACACATCGGTGCTTCGATAATCTCTTCTCCGACAACCAGCAGAATATCGCGAGGCATCGCCGCATACATTCCAGTTGACGTGAAATCAGGAGTTGTAAATTCCTAGAAATGAGATCGCTGTCGTGTTAAGCAAGGTCTACATTCGTAGTCAGATATGGGCAAGCCATGGCATCGATATGAAATATCGTAGATCCCGAAAGTAGCGTCCCCCACCCCCCTGAAAGCACCGATCCCCAAAAAATAGCTTCGTAACTCATGAATAAGGGCCGATTCCATGGACGTAGCGAGGGGGGGGGGGGTGTAACATCCCTCCCCCAACTCTGAAAGTTCAGAAAATTCAGGTAAAACAAAGCATGCCAAATGCAGTAATGTACATTAATTTGCAGGATATATACAGTAATTAGCTAGTTCCGACCGAACTGTATAGTTCAGGACTAGAGGCTCGTATGCTAAATGGAGAATCAGAGTAATGTATAAAAGGTGAACTGGAAATGTTGTTTTAATGTAATTGAGCGCTGGGTGACGAGCAAAGTCTTACTGCTGTTATAGGCAAACAAGTTCATTTTGGCTTGGAAATAAATATGAATGACTCAAATGATTTAATATCCTTACAGCATTAACCGTTCGGAATTAATACATTGTTCTGATATTAATTTGTGTCATTCAGACTTATTTCCGAGCCAAACTGAACTGAGGGTTATCAGACATCATTACACATAATGTCCAACCCAAACTCAAAGTTATCGGACATTTTGCCAGACGGTCCTGTAAAAGATGTTTTAAGGCCTGGTAATCATTACCTTACTATGATCCAATATCTTGGGCCGGCGTACAGTCACTCCTTCGTGTTCCAAAATGTTGCAAAATTCATCCATTTGCTTCACAGCTTTTGCAACATGCTCAGGTGGGAATGGTTTGCCGCCATGTTGTTGATAAAATGGCCAATATTTCTCATGAGTGTTGGCCTTCACTTCAATGGTGAAAGACGGAACATGGGCATTTTCTGGACGGCCAACAATCAGTTCCTCCAAAGGATCCCACTCATTATGCGCACATACTGGACTGCTGAAACTCGCAAAATATCGTACATTAGTTTTCCTATAATACTATGCTGAGGTGGCAGTGGTGAAGCTAGCCATTGCAACAGGTCATGCTATGCAAGTTTTTAATGATTTGCATTACTCAAATAGATGCAGGTTTATCAGTATAGCATGCATATGGCCAGTTGCCATGGCTAGCTTGCCACTGAATACTGTACAATGTTTGATAAAAATACTAAATCGGGTTTTGTTCCAATTATTGTTTTAATGCCACCTTCAAGGCTGCCCATATCACAGAACAACCAAACAATATGCTGATGGGGAGACAACATATCTTTGTTGACATTTCTAATTGTGAGCATTATCAAAAAATATAATACACTCTGAAATGTAGCGACACAGCCAGGTGAATATATATGAATGTAGGCTGGTAGGATTATTTCATATTATGCTAACAAATGAGGTGGACAAAGTATCTGAACCTGGGAACCTAGTTCAATTTCAAGAAATTTGCGGGGATCTACATTTTTGCAGAAATTTTCACACAAACTTTTTTACGTTATTTTTAGACTTTTACGGTTAGGATTAGGGAAAAGGTTGGGGGGGGGGGGTATAGTGTAAATTTTTACAATACGTTTCTTACCTCAGGCTTGGGCTTGCTTTTTCCACTTGAGGTTTCGTCTGAACACCTCGCACACGCATGCTCAACGATGCCAGTGCTTGCTGTAACAATATAGAGGTTTTGTTTAAAATTCAACATATAACATTAACAATTATAATTTTATATTATTCTGACACTGCAATCGACCAACGAAAAATTCGTTGGCTCGAGCGGGATTCTTATCCAATTTAAGTGCACGAAATATTTTCGTAACGACTTTATAACGCTTGTCTTAGGGAAGCCTCACATATCGATTTTTTCCACGAGAAACGTCATATGTTCGTTTGGGGGTGGGGGGGTTTGCAGCTGTGACGTTTCTCTGTAAATATCATGGAAAAATTCGATAGCTTTTTCGAAAGCCTTGACATTTCTAAATCATCTTTGCAGAGTATAAAAAAGAAAACAATTTGATACAAACAACAGTCTATAGGCCTACATTCTATACCATACCTGTTCTACACATATACATTTATATTATTACGCCTTCCTTGCATTGAAAACACTCAAATTTCAAGAAAACCGCGCTAAAATTATCAATATTTCATGCAAAAAAAAGTTGTTTTGAGAAACAAAAAAGAGTATGTCAGCAGAAGATGACATATTCCTCGCGGAAGCATCGCCAATAGCCGACCGCAGAAAATAGTAGAAAATTACCTTATGTATACTATATCGAACAAAATATCGATAATATGTGTGACGTTTCTAAGGGGGGGTGGGGGGGGGGTCTCCAGAGAAACGAACATATGACGTTTCTCATGGACGAAATCGATATGTGAGGCTTCCCTTAGAGGACGCGCAGTGTTTCAATTCTATTTCAGAACCATCCTCAGAGATACGAAAAATAGTTTCATATTATTCTGACACTGCAATCGACCAACGAGAAATTTGTTGGCTCGGGCGGGATTCTTATAACGGTTTTATAAAACGGCTAAAGACTAAAAATAAGACAATACATCTTGATAATACCAGGCAGAAACACTCGCCAAGTCAAATCTTAATTTGTTCTTGCGGCATAAAAATTTTGCAACCAATATATTTTACAAAAATATAGATATTATTCATTTTGAAATATTTATCATACCATATAAAGATGACCAAATTCAACAAGATGGAAATACGGGAAAGTTACAAATTTTCAAAGAAGTAAAAGTTGGGTTTGAAAAATACAGATTTAATACCTGTTGAAACTGGTCGTCATAAAACTGGTTGCAATGCAAAATTAAATATTCTTATGACAATCTAAACGTTTTTGCTCGCGTTTTTGACAGTTTATAAGTTATAAGACATAAGTCTTTTAGTTAATCTTTGTATGTACCCTATACAGTATATACGAATTATGGTGTTTTGTTATGCATGGATTAAAAATTATTATTATTTGCAATCACATGATATACCTGATGAAAAGCATACCCATTTCGGCATTTGGTTTGTGTTTTAGCAAATGAATAGAATAAACATGCTAAATCCACTTTTTCCAAAGTTTTAGTTCAAGACCAAGTATATAAATGTAAAAAAGTCTTGGAATTTTGACATGGAAAAACGCTTTGAAAAACGTTTCACCGTTTGAAAATGTTTAGAATATATTATTAAAGGACTTAAAGCCGCGTGAATAACACTTCTTTTTTTTTTGAAAAACTGGGCAAATTAATTGGCAGTTTTCTCGAGAGTTTTGCCGAAAAATAAAAGCATTTACCTTTTTTATAACAGCTGGTTCCCTTCCTCGGCATCCACCACGAAATATACGTGCAAACATCATCACGAAATTTTGGCCACAATTATCAATAAAAAGCTAAAGAAAGCTAAAGTTAAAAAAGTATTTTTATGTCATTTTAAAATTGGTTGAGAAGTTCGAATGGAAACACGGGAAATTTGCATCTCGCAGCTATGATTTAAAACGTAAACAAAACAATTTTAACACGTGCTATAATCGAAAAACTGTGTGATAAAACTGGCTTTCACAAAGACATGAAGGAACCACAAGACAAAAAGGGAATTCTCAGTTTAAAAAGAGGAGAATTTAGCATTTTGTGGTCAAATTGACGAGCAAAAACCATGGCAACCGATCAAGTGGTTTTTTTATGCAGAGGTAATGAGAATTTGTAAATTAATCGATAAAAAATTGCTATATTAAAACGGCTCTTCTTGAGTTTAATATATAATAAAAATAGAAAACATTTTTTCCAAGTAATCCTGTGTTTCTATACATATATCTTAATATTGGAAGGTTTCACATATAATCTGGCCGTATTTCACGAGTTTCGAATGTGAAATGAAAGAAACGAGAAAATGGATTATTGGATTTCCTAGTCTTTTTAGAAGGATTTAAAGGATTTGCATCTGCATTTAGCTAGAATATGGCACCAAATTTTACCAGCGAGGCGCGGGGGTGCTTGGGGAATTTCTAAGCGAGCGCGCGGGGGTGCTTGGCCCAGCATGCTGTGCAAAGCTGTGCGGACAAACGCAGTTTCCACAGAGAGGCATGGGTACGAGGCTGCGTCAAGGTCGCCCCATTCCTCAGAAATTTGTCGCAGCGATCAATGTTGCAGACCAAGTGCAAAGGAACGGTTTTGGTATTGAATTCATTACGCATATTTGTCAGGTTTTTTTGCTGGGCCAGCTGCAACCCTAAAAGATATTCGAACTGCGCTAATGCTTGAACTCCAAGCGAAAGATGTCATCCAGAGCTTTATCAAGGCACCAACTGACATCCGGTAAACGAAGGTCAGAACTCAATCTTGGATCGAGTCTTTAAACTGAATATTTCCCACAACGAAAAGAAAGAACAACAAAATATCATTTTCCCACGCTTTAGGTTTTGGAATTCCGAGAAACAGGGTTATCTGAGATGGGTTTAAAACGACATGTTTATGTTATAAAGCTACCTCTGTCGTATATTTTGTGTCTTGTGCCCACCATGCTTAGATGGCATGCATGTTTGGATTTCTGATAAATATTTCGATCAAATCAGCACAAAATGAAATGGCCGATGATTGAAGAACAACAAATATTACAAATAGAAAGTAAATTTTTCAAACGAAAATCTAAAATGTACACAACCTTGAGCTGGAAGAGTGAAAAAGCCGCAGAAAAAATACGCTCGAATAAGAGTACATCGATGCATGGCCTCTTTGGTATTGCGCAATGTTTACATAAGATTACATCATTTACAAACCACGCGGTTACATTCGAGCAACCGTGGCGGCAACATAGTTAGCCCGCGTGCAGGTCTTCCCTTGGGCCTGCACGCGGGCTACAACATAGTCTAAGATGCTTGTCTAAGATGCTGAAATAGCAAAAGCTTTCAAGGACTAGCTTTGCCCCTAGACCCCCAGGGCTACATTCATTCGTCACAAAAACTGAATCTTCTTTTCTAAAACGGGGGTCAGCAAAAGTGCTTGGATAAAGCCCTGTCATCAATTCATCATGGCTACAAAAAAGTGCAGATTACAGGATAACGGCAAGGTATTAAGGTTTTTGTGGCAAAAACTGACGGGCCAGTGTGCTCATACGGTTTGCTTTCTCGTTATTTCATTCTAGCGGGGATACTGCCGAAATCAAACCAATACATCTTTAGAATTTAGATTTGTCAGTTCCCTAAAAGATGGCTCTTTGAGAGCTACAATAACTAAACCTATCAGCTATTCAAGATGCTGGGAAATTATAAAGGAGACCTTGGAAACGATTGGAGAGAAGTCGCAAGATTTCGGTACCGACAGCCTGCGTTCAGGTGCCGCGCGACAGCTACAGTATGGCACAGTCGGAACCGACTATACAAGAGACGATGGAAAACAGACAGCACAAGTACATGAAGATTCAATAGACAATAACGAAGACTTAAATATATTTGCACGAACGAAATAATATTTAAAGTAATGTTTTCTAAGGATTTATAGTTCAATGGCATGAATACGGAAATTAATAGGACCAAATTGAATGTAATTCAATTGTAAATATATTCAATGAAATAAAGTATTGGCAAGTGTCTACACGCTGCCTACCATGTATACATGTGTGAATTAATACTCTTTACTCAGCGTATATTGGAGAAAAATGTTTTTCCTTCCTTTCCACGCGGTGAGGTAGATCGAGGAAAATTAAAATTCAGCGTGTTCGGTCGAGATAATTATGAACTTATGGAAATCAACCAACGTCAATTGAGGAAGGAAGACCATTGTGATTTGGATATAATTCTGGCTTCTGCTAAGCAGGGGCGCACATTCGCAAAAAATTTGGGGGGTGTTCTATGTTCTGGGACCGACTTTTGTAGTATTTGTGTTTGGTAAGAAAAGCCAACTATTTAAAGCGCATAGACGGTAAGACGGGGATAGTATTCCAAAACTTTAAATAAACGTTCAGTTTTTCAGAACTTTTGCAGTGGTCTAAACTTTCGGATGGGGGGCGGGGCAAAATTTTTATGGATTTCGAATGCGAGCGCCGTAGGCGCGAGGAAAATTTTGAATTTCTAGATTCATTTGAACGCTATTTCACGTATTTTAGGACGAGGTTTGAAGAAAAGTTACAACTACAAAAAGGCATTTCTAAGTCGCCTAATGTTGTTAGATCGAAAAAATATTTATGTAAAACATAGTATTGTACACGCAAATACAACAGCAAAATAGCATGATGCCTTCGTTTTTGTAGAAGTCGGTCATGAGTGTTGCTCTGAGCGCAAATTCAAGTTCAAATTAGCTTTAAAGCAACCAGCATTTTTTACTGGAGTTAGGATTTTAGGTAGGCAAGACTTCAACGTTATTGACAAACAGAGGAGATGGGTATCATTATTCACACATCGTACCCCCACCCCAATTTCTGCCCGGATTTCAGCTTTCCACAAGGGCAGTCCTTATGCCCATTGCAGAGCCCCCCGAGCTCCCATCTTGGCTACGCCGCTGATTTAATTCTGCCTTCCAAAGTTTCAGCTTTTGCGACAAGATTAACAATGCGCATTTTAACTGCACGGCAAGCGGGGGCTTGAGGTAATCGGATCGCATTACGTTGGCTGAACTGTTGCAACGCAGAAGTTGATTATTTGCTCTCTTGGTTTGTGTCAGTGAACTCTAATTTGTGCATATTCGTTTTTCTTTGTCTAATTCCTTTTTCTTATGTTTATGCAACTTCCATTTCCAGAATGTCCACCTATTACTTTTTTCGATACAAAATGATATCTTTCAGATTTTAGCCGGACCGACTTTTTCGTCCCATTCAGGTTTTGGGACCGACTTTTTAGATATATTTCACAAAACATGGGGGGGGGGTGACACCCCCCTAATGTGCGCCCCTGCTGCTAAGATATCTTACCTCACAAAGTGCATGTGAACAGACTCGATTGTGATTTACAATCCAGTTTATCATTGCAACACAAGAGCGCTTATATGGAAAAATATGCCCAAAATGTCAACAAGGTATCTTTTACAGGTTTTACTGTAACCTTAGATTAATAAGGTACCTATATGTAGACATTTATTGACAGACGTACACTACTATTTATTGACAGTACTTTGTTGACATTGGACCTTGCGCAATTTCAAGTGAAAGATCGTATTACAAAGCCTATTTTACACGTCTGAAATCGCAGGAAATGGTCATTCCAACCAGGTTGCTAGTGTTGCCCTTCAAACTCCTATGTGTCGAACAACTACTTTCCAATCATCTTTCTTTAACTGCATAGTCAAACCCTGAAACAGAGTGTGTAAGGATGTTGATCCTGACACATTTTCCACTCCCATTACTTTTACAAACTTTCTTAATTAAGCGTCAGATCAAAATACTTTCTAACTTCTTAGATCTGTTTATGCATATTGAAAATACACGTAACAGTCGTTTACATATTTTTGTCAAATCTGATGTTTTGCATGTGATATAAATATGTGTATAATATTTCGGCTGTGTCCAATTTTATTAACTGTGAATTTACTTAGTACTTCCTTTCAGTAAACTCAGAATTTGAATTTGGCCTGAGCGATTAGCAAACAATGCAGGCTACTCACGTGCAGGGCTCGAATTTTATCGCGGCAATTGCCGTAGAGGGAGAACAAAATAAATGCCGTGGATCATTGCGGCAACGACGGCAATTTTTTGCCGTATAGTGTAATTTTTATACTATTCATTGTGCATTACTATTTTGATATAGTGTAATTTTTATACTATTCATTGTGCATTACTAGTTTGATACTTAAATTCAGGTGTTGATCAAATCATACGTAAACTACTATTTTAGTCTGAGTTTTCTTCGAAAAAAAAAAACACTAAAGAAATACGTAAACATGTTTCTAGTTTGTCAGCAATCCAAATAACAATAAAATTAAATTTGTATTACAGTGATTTGAAAAAATGCCGTGGAAACTGCCAAAATTGCCGCAGACAGCTGTTACGTTCTATGGCAATTTTTAACGCCATTGCCGTCGATTGATTTCAGGGAAATTCGAGGCCTGCTCACATGTACGCAGCGCGTACCTATTTCTTATTGTTTCCGAACAAATCGATATCCGAACTGAAAATCCCGGTCAACCCGCATGCCTTTAAAAAATCACCCTTAATAATCAGGCGCAAGCGAAAAGGCCGAGGAACTAGGCTAGAACCGTCTATTTATAGTTCAATGGCTAGAACCAGGCTAGAACATTAGGGCTAGAACCATAGATATAGGAGATCTCCTATATCTATGGCTAGAACAAGACTACAATTACTATAATAGTATAGCGAGAGTGACTTATCGCGTTATTTAAATGATATTAAAAGTTGGAAAAGCGATGGGATAAAGTTTAAAAGGTTGAATTTAGCTGCAGACATGTCGTACAGTAGTTCAGGTTCAAAGATGTTCGAAAACATGTCCGTGAACGATCTTAAAACCTATCTTCGCGAACGCGGCTAAGTGTGAATGGCTACTTAAAACCAGCTTTGATCGAAATTGCCAACGCGGTTGCAAAAATGATGCTTCCCGTTGTTATTGAATTTGAAAAGGGAAATAACAATCAAGACATACATAATTTTATTATTCATGATATGGAAATCAGTGATCCGGTTTCTGCGTCGCATAATCTCGTGAATAACTTTGTCGATTCACCCCCGTTTGGATTGTATGATATTTTTAACTATTTGATCTTTCACTCATGCGATTATGATAAACAAGGTTTAGCAGCTTACAAAGCCTTTGATGAAAGCCTTTGTTGTTCCTCCAAGATGGATATGTTGAGTAATATAATGAATATGATATCGCTTGAACTCTCAAAGGTCATAAATAGCTTTTTTGTTGACATTTGACTAAACTTCGTTTAGGAGATTTTGTTTCACTGAATCGAATGGTATTATTTTTGTCTTCATAGCATGCACCGAACCGAAGATATGAACCTTGCAAAGTCATAGATCACCAGTGTTATATGCAAATGGAACTAGGCTTTACCCTGGGTCACAAGAGCATCCAGCCTCACTTTGGTGAGTACAATATTTGAACTCTGTTTATGATTGGTCTAAATTTATGTTAGTCTTTTCATTGGTTAACCGATGAGCATTGGTTAACCAATGAAAACACTCGCATAAATTTATAAGTTTATAATTAATATATTTTATAATATTTATAATTATGGGGATTCTCTCCCAAAGGACAGACCCTGGGAGCGAGGTTGGGTTCACATATGCCTGCATTCTCGTACTCAGAGCCCTTCTTATGCACGGTCAACAGAGCGCTACGAGGGGCTCTGGTCAAATCCATAACCGGTCGGATACCATAAAAACATGGTAAGAAAACAATATCCGGTGTCAGAACTAGCCAATCAGATGCCAGTTTGGATATGGATTTGGCCAGAGCCCCTCGTCGCACCACGCGTAAGAAGGGCTCTGGGTACGAGAATGATATGCCTGCGGTATGCCTGCGCTACATTATAAATCTTGTCTGGATCGATAGAGTTCGCTTCTCTGAAGTTTTGAGATAAACAGACGTTAAACAGAAATACACAAACCAAAACTGCTTGTTGAATTTTAAGTGAGGGTTAGCACTAACCCACCTTTGAACAACCGGCCCCGGGCCCCAGGTATACAGTATGTATACCCAAGCCAGTATGTGAACCATTATTTTCATGTTCATTGACTGTGAAAACAATTTCTAAAGAAATGATAATAATTTTGAATGTGAACCATTGGTTCGCAAGGGTGGGTTGACTACAAAATGTTTGTAGTTCGCTATAACTACAGCTACTTCAAAAATATGTAGTCAGCTTCAACTACTGCTACTTTCAGCGCTTCCACTTTGAAGGAAATTTCCTTTTGAAAGGAATTTTTTGCAAAGTGAAGGAAATTTGAAGGAAATAAATGTTGATGGAAATGTGAAGGAAATTCTAGAAGAACAAAGGAAATTTGAAGGAAAATGCAAAATATTGCCAAAATTGGTAATATTTAATATATTTTACAAATAAAGCGTAAAATAAACTTCAATCTGATCACAATTTAACCGAAAGTAGAATTTATATTTAGTCGTCTTTAAAATTATCTATGAATAATTTGAAAGTGAATACTTCATGTAATATCAATATTTATATTCTCTACGTTTAATTTTCTTCCACGCTCTGATAAGTCATGCATTGTAAATGATCGTTCTACCAATTGAAGACAAAGTCATTTTTCGGGTTATGAATATCAACAAGGATGTGAAAGTAAAACACGCAAACCGTACCGGCTGGACCGGTGTATTAAGCCAGTTTTCCACTTCAACCGTACCGTACCGAAACGTACTGGTGAGCATGCCTGAGACTGAAAAGAGGTTTATAAATCCACATACTTTCGGGTGTATTCGCGTATCAAAATGAAAAGTTCGTCGCAAGTCAACTTTTTGGCGTACTATGGAAGTACTAACCAATCAATATTCACACTAA